AAGGATATTACTGTAAAACAAACCTCGCACATCATCTTCACTGAATTTTGTTCCTGTGTAATTAGGATCTGATCTTCTGAGAGCAGTACTCAAGCCAGCTTCAAGTTCACTTAAAAGTTTCTGGAGTTTGGGATCAAATGTTTTACTCCATCTCTCATCCTGTAATGAAGATTTCAAAAATTGTGACTCACATGATAAAGTAATTACTATTTTCCTCCCGTTAACCTTAAAATCAACAAAAAAAATCAGATTAAGTAACCGACCACAAGGTGGGAAAATGTAATAGTTTTTTTTAATTATCTTCATTTAACAATTCAGAATAATACTATTAAAAAACCATTCTCACCACAAAATCAAGTCAGTTGTTGGCTTTCTAAAGGCACTCTGAAAATGTGTTTGAAATCATTTGATAGATAATTCTCTAAAATTAAATAAATTTGGACTACTATAGCATAATCTGGAAACTGCTAGAATCAAATATGGAAAGTAACTGTGTTTTTCTAACATTATTTTATTAACATTATCACGTACAATAAATTAAAGATATTTAAGTGCTGAAACTCCGCTTATTCAGCTTATGAAATACAGTCATGGCCATGGTTTTTGACAAAAATCTGCAAATATTTTTCAATAGAACAGAAGAAAAAGCCTCTGAAAATTAAAAAAAAAAAAAACCCTATGAAAAATACAGGTGTAAAAATTAATCTAAAGTCTAGTGTACCTATCTGCCACTTATTAAAGAATCATAGTATGCATGACACAGATCTATGCATTTCATACAAACTCCAAGAGTATCTAAAACAAGAAAAGGACGTAAGGCTGGCATTACTGTTGGAAAGGAGGTAAAGAGCTATTTTCTTCATTAACCACCACTGCATAGTGTATTCCACACTTCCAGTCAGATATATGTATGACCAGAATCCTCCTCTTATTCTTACTGATAGGAGGTAAAGTACTTTCTTTAACTTTCACCTTTGCTTAATCTCTTAAAATATTTTGGTTTTAAAACATAAAATATTTACTTCAAAATCAGTAAACATCCTATGGAATTTCACTGTCTCAGTATAAATCCACAGAACATTTAAACTGGTATATTTCTCACCTTCAGTAACAGTGGTGCAAAAACTTGACGTACAGCTTGATAAAGGGTGTTAATTGGTGAATTTAGCATAGATGACACAAGAACATTACTATGAAGATTATCTTCTGTAATTACATCGGGTCTCAGCTTAAAGAACACCAACACATTATTCTCTGAATCAGTAGCCTCAATCTGTAATAATCAAGAAGACAGGATTTATTTAGAAAACTGTCAGTGACTGCATATTATAACATTATAACTCCACCTGATAATATTCTGCTAGTGTCTGAGTTGCACAGAAAATGAAAAATTTTATTATACTCATTTCTGAACCCATAGGAACCTGACTTCCAGCATCAAACACATAAAGCCTCTTTTAGCATATAATGGCCAGTCTTCGCGAGCGAAGATCCGGGGAAGGTCTTTACACCTTCCAGCCTGCGCATTGGATTTTTTAGGTGAGACACAGTGTGCGCGGAACTGAGCCCACCCTTTAATCCTAAGGTTCATCTGCCGGGGCCAAGCGAGCTTGGACGGTGGCAGTGAGGTCCTTAGGACGTAGATGGGTTGCCTTTAAGGGCTAACGAGCCCCACCTGCCCGGGAGTGGCCCTGACCGGGAATCGAACCCGGGTCTCAGCGGTGATAGCGCGGTGCCTTTACCACTAGACCACCAGGGGCTCCATAGCATATAATGTCTGTAAATACCATATTTTCTTACTCTATTTTGAAAACTCCCCACTTTCTGTAGACAAAACAGAAACTCTGTCTTGTGCCTAGAGAAAAATATATATATTTTTAAATTGCATTTTTATGCGACATACCTTTGGGAATATTTTTTTAAATATTCTAACTATCTGTATTGTTCTCCTGAGTTTGTAAATATGAAACTCTATTGCAATTCATAGATTTCTCCAGGATAGAGAAAGGCATGCTCCTTCATCAGTCATCAGTCATGACTCATGTTCCCTTCACAGCCCAATTTATGGTTAAAGTTCCAAAACCTGCCATAATCAACTACTGAAACTATTTGTGGCTGAGGAGAATTCATAAAAGAGGAAAATATTAGTAAATATTTGATAAATCAATAGCAAGAAGATATACAAAGATATACAAGCTGAAATCCCAAATTCTGCACAATTATAAACATCTGTGCACTTTTTTCTGTTAAAAGAAATGGAGGGATAGGAAGAACAGCTTTCAGTTTTACTGAACAGTATTAGTTTTGACTTTCTTATCAGCTCTTTAGCCCAACACCTACAGACATCTTCACTGAGATAACAGGTATACAGCGTAGCACTGATATGTATCTGACCTCCCACAGCTGTTGAAAGCTGCTTTGTATTTTAGACAGTGCCTCAGCAGCAAGCTCCCAAAATTGGTACACATAAATGTTCACTTGCCTGAATACAGAATGCACTAGTCTTAACCAAAGAGGCATGTAAGTTACTGGTCCACAATTCCCACGTTAAGGACACATTACACTCATCTGCAGAAAAGATCTGTCACTGACATAAGGGACACCACGTCCCTCCTCTCACAGGAGAACAACAGGACACATGTCAAGACCCACACTTTGCCAGTACACTCTGTGCAGCAGGCACTACACCATGGCCTGATTATATAGTGACATTGAGTGCACATCACACCCCATGGTATCACTTGTTTGAGTCACTTGCTGAACAGAAACACTCAAGGCAGGACATTTCACACAATGAACCTAAGATTTGCTCACAGATGGACACATCAGTTTGAAAAATGCATGCTTTAGACAAACACCTACCTTGGGACTTCTCAAATATCAGTCAACATGCCCATATATTGGGTCACATTCCCTGCAGGGACATTGGCCATGCAATCCTTATGTGCACCCGTGACCAGGAAGAAATTATACATCAGACTCCACCTGGCATTTGCAGTAAGGTAACATGCCATCCTCCAGGCTCCATCACATTCACACAGCGACAACGCACTAAAACTGCATTAGCATGGGCACAATCGACTAACAAACGTTATCACCAGCTGACCATATGGTCTTCACAGACTCTTGGGCCAGAGTTCTGGTTTTAGCTGGGATAGAGTTAATTTTCTTCTTAGTATCTGGGACAGTGCTGCATTTTGGGTTTAGAATAATGTTAATAACATACTGATATGTTGGTTGTTGCTGAGCAACAATTATCTGAAGTCAAGGAATTTTTAGTCCCTCGTGCACTGCCAGTGAGGAGGTGCACAGGAAGCTGGGAGGAAGTATGGTCAGGACAGCTGAACAGCACTGACCAGAGGGATATTCCATACCACAGAGTGTCATGCTTAGTATATAGACTGGGGGGGGATTGGCCGGGAGGCACCCATCACTGCTGGGGAAACGGGCTGGACATTGCTAAGTGGGTGTTCAACAAATATATTTTTGTATCACTTATTCCACTTGGGCTCTCTCGCTCCTTTTCATTACAATTATTAACACTATTACTAGTGTTATATTAGTAGTTGGTTATTATTGTATTGTTGTTATTATATTTTACTTCGTTGTTCTTATCTCAACCCCCAAAAGAGGGGTGGGGGGCAGTAGGGAGATGTCTCCCAAATCTTATACCAGTCTTTACGGCCACTAACTAAGCCTGGGCTGACTGCGGGCATCCCCACTCGCAAGCCGGGATGCGGCGAACACGCGGGACCGGGCGGTGCCGGACACTTCGGTACCTTGTTGGAGGCGCTGAGCTGCCCGCCCGAGTGCTGTACCACGAGCAGGAATTCATTGCCGTCGTCGAGGAAGCTGCTCAGCTCCGGACGGGAGTGGAGCCCCGCCGCCAGGGCAGCACAGCCCGCCGGATCCAGCCCGAAGTAGTTCGCAGCCGTGGCTGAGATAAAGCGCTTCCTCGTGTCTCCCTCCCCGGCCATGCTTGCCGGACGCACGCCGTCAGGCAGGATCAAGGTGGAGGCGGATCCAGAACCCCGCGGGAGCACATGGAGGGGCTGGCGAGAGAAGAGCCGGCGGAGCACAGCAGCAGAGCCCGGAGCGTGCCGCGTCCCCGAAAGCCGTCGCTATGGTGACCGAAGATGGCGGCCAAGGCGCGCAGGCGGGGTCGGGCCGGGTGGCGCCCAGCAAGGGCCGCTGCCCACGGAGGGGAGGGAGAAAGGGAGGGAGAGAGGGAGGGAGAGAAGGAGGAAGGGAGGGATGGAGGTGGCGGTGACGCGCTCAGCGGACACAGTGGGCGGGGAGGGGCGGAGGCGCGGAAGGCACCGCGCTCGTCCCGCCGCGGCAAGAGTAGTTCGCAGGTACTGCCGGGCTTTCCCCTAGGTTCACCTAATCATCTCTCCTGTCATCAGCTGCGTCACGGTGTCACGGCCGCCGCAGTACCTGGGGTGTTTCTCCCCGCCCTCCACCCCTTCCCGCTCCGCTAGGGATCCGTGCCGCAGCGTGCGAGTGTTCAGACCCCACCGGGAGCCCAGGCTCGTGTGCCCGTGGTTTCCTGGGTCAGCGCGGGCGTAGCGATCCGCGCCCTGATCCGCGCTCCCAGCCGCTTCTCCGGGGGTTGCCCAGGCAAGAGAGGCTCTCCCCTTCCCCAGCAGCTGTCCTTGGGCTCGGCCGCTGCCCGCACCTCTCGGAGGCGGCTGCCGCAGCCCCACGCCCGTCCCCAGCGCTGCCCACCCGGCGTCCCCACGGGACACGGCCGGCAGCTCCAGCCCGCGGGCTGGCTGGGACCTCGCGGCGCCCCCGCGGGCACCGGTGCCTAACGCAGGGTCCGCGCTGCCCGGTTTGTGTCACGGCGAACGCTCGACTGAAACTGACAGGCACCCCCGCACCGGCCCGGCGGCAGGCGGGAACGGCGCGCGCCAGCCCCGCCCCCGGGGGCGGGCCCCGGCGCGGCCCCGCCCCTCGGCGCTGCCACTTCCTGCCTGGTGCCGTCTGTGTCCGGGTCGCTCTCGCCGTTCGCTCCGCAGCCGATACCGCCCGCTCCCCGCTCTCGCTCACCGCTCTCGTCCCCGCCCCCAGCCCGACACCCGCTTCTCGCACCGGGGCAGCGGCGGCGTCTGCCCGCGGCGAGGGGAGGGTGGCAGCGCCTGGCGGGGCTGGGCAGGAGCAGCAGCGGGAGCAAGGGAGAGACGGGGGCTCCTCTCGTCTCCTCGCCGCCGGTGTCGGGAGGCGGCGGCGGCCGGGGGAGTTGAGCCCGGGGGGGCCTGGGCCGCGAGCCCCGGCAGCGGGGCGGCCCCGCCCCGAGGCAGGACGATGCCGGTGAAGAAGAAGAGGAAGTCCTCGGGGGCGGCGGCGGCGGACGACACCGGCCTCAAGAAGTGTAAACTCGGCAGGTACCGTCTCGCGGGGCTGGGCCGGGCCGCTCCCCCGCGGGGCCCGGGCTGCGGCACCGCCGGGGCGTCCCTGGGCGGCGGGCCCCGCGCAGGGCCTGGGCCGTGCCGACGGGCACGTCCCGCTGCGGGCCCTGCAGGTGCGGGGCGCGGCGTGCGGCCTGGGCACGGCCCGGAACGGCCCCCGCTCTCGGCTGGCTTGGCCTTTGGCTGCACCTGGAGGGTCAGTGCTGGCATTTGGCCACATATCAGTTGTATTTCCCTGCGGTAGGCGGCTCTCCTCACTTTACGGTCGCCACTCACTTTACGGTTGCTAGTGATCAGAATGTCTGCGTTAAATCGTCTTTTTTTTTTTTTTTTTTCGTGTGTGTGTGTGTGTTTTTGGGAGGTTTTTTTTTTGTGGGGTTTTTCTACAGTGAATTGGAAAGAGAGATCAGCACTCTCGAAAAGAAGGAAAAATGTCTCTAATAAATACAGAAGTCTGAAGCATCCTGTCCATTAACTATTTTTAAAAGACTACTTTATGCCATGATACCCGAAAGATACTGTTAAAATTATAAGCCTATATAAAAATATAGTGTTGTGTAGCAGGAGCTTACAGTGTAGCTTCTCTAAAGTAACTGTTTGCCTGCTTCATCTGTTAGACCTTGTTAAGTGTGTCAGTAAACCAGTAGTTAGGAATAACGTCCTGAGGCCCTAAGGATACAAAGGGCTTATGAAATCAACGCTGCAGGAATGACTACTGCAAGAAACTGGGGCGTATGGGCTTTCTCACAGGTTGACTGAGGTTGATCTTAGACGTACCCAGGCTCTTATTTTGTTATGACTGTTCATTTTGGATAACTATTGCAGAGCTCGTTTTCTGTGGTCATTAGTGACCTTTTAGTTTCAGTCAGTTTATTCATAGCCAGTTAATAACTATTCTTGTGCTAACATTCTGTTCTATGCAACACTCCTTCCTCATGATTCTGCCTCAGAGTGCATTTGCAGGGAGTGCTTCTGGTTTTTGCATACTTTATTTTGTTCAATTACAAACTAAAACCAAGTTAGATTATACTGCTTTGTAATACTGACTTTCAGTTTCCTTGCTCATCATAACTCTTCCCTGCATGTGTTCAGTTTGAGTTCATCTTTCTTGAACACTGTTGACCAAAATTTTGTTATCTTAATATCTTTTACTTAAAATAAATCTTTTGATAGCTTCTTTAAAAAAAAATCTACAGGAAGCTAATAGTTGTTGGGCAAAAACTATGATGTAAATGAGAATTCGCAAAATGTTAGATACACAAGCATTTTTAGTGTTACATTCTTATACAGCAATTTATTGATTTATTCTCTAGTAAAAGCAGTTTGATTTGATTAGAAATAGATCTGTGTTAATCTGGATAAAGCCAATAAACAATAGCATATGTGTGACTGTCACTTTCTGGTGACCTGTGTTCCCAGTGGCAGTTGGATGGATGTTTGTAGGACACATTTAATTCTAACTTTCAGCACAGGCAGCTTCATCTTGGAGAGCACATCTTTCTTTTCCAGTGAAGCTTAAAGCAATACATGGGAGTTGTTCATCCCTCTCAGAATTGAACTCTTCTTTTACTGCTTCATGTCTTAATTTTAAAATTGCAATGTGGGAGCTGTATGATTTTAAATCCTCTCATATGATTAACACTCACCTCATTGTTAGAAATAATCTGAGCTGGTTCTAAAAGTCTTTAACTAGTATTTGAAAAGAGCATGCTGAAAGGTGCTGAAACTCCTTACTGACTGAAGATGTTTTTGTGTGGTCAGTGTTTTTAGTGGAGTAAATCAGTTATTCTGTGCATGCTTTTAGTGAGTGATGAATTATGAAAATTCACTTCCTAGGCAAACTGGGTTGAGTGTTACATAATGAAGGCAATGTAGTGGGGAAGCTGAGTGTGCTGAGCGGCTTCAGCCTTTACACAGATTGCACACTACTGCTCTGGTATACGTACCAGACATCTATAGAATTTACAGGTACTTAGCTACATGTTTAGTGTAAACAGATCAACCAAGTTTTCATCCCAAATTTCGATGCTTTAACTATAAATAGTCTGACTTTTAAATATATCAAACTCTGCAGCTCCTGTTGACCTTAATGGGATCTGTGCATATTCAGCACTCTTGAAGATCATGCTACTTATTAGAGACCTAACCTTAAATGCCTCTATGTATAAATATAAGCAGATAAGGCGTTTTAATTACTGAGGAGTGATATTTTGGCCATCTGTGTGGGGGGAGTTTTATTGAATATCTACAAGATAACAGTACTCTTGCATTTCAGAAAAAGTAATAGTTGCAATAAATTGGGTTATGAGGTGGTTGTATTTCAAGGTAGTTTTGTGTTCCAGGCTTTAAAATAGGATGACAGACAGTTGCCCTCTATCAAATTCAGCTTCATTGTTTATGTATATTGACTTTGTGAAACAATTAAATAGTTTGAATTAATAATAAACACTTGGGAATCTAATTTTACATTTTTTCCCATGTCTCATTAAAATAATACTGTTCATGTTGTGTTTTTATATGCTACTGCAGATCACAGGCGTCTGGTAAAGTAATAAGTGGAGAGGAACATTTTTCAAGCAAAAAGTGCCTGGCTTGGTTTTATGAATATGCAGGTAATGTGCAATGGATTCATATTAAAAATTATAATTTTTGTTTTAAACAAAACAATATATTAAATACTATTTGAATTTTACTTTTTTTGTGCTGATATATACATAAAAATATGTCCATATTTGCTTCCTTATAACATGCACTTGAATCAGTATAGCTTTTATTAGTACCTTCTCATTATTTGTTCTTTTTCACTTACTTTACTTTACTCTGTGCTTTATAGCTTTAAAATGAAATACCTGATGTTGGGCACTACAGTGTTGAATGAGGATACGCTGAGTGATTCTACTTCTTTCCTTTGAAATTGTCAAGTAAAAGTTCAGACACTGAGAGATAGTTTAGATAGAAACTTATTTGTCTAACTAGATCTTTTTTATGATCATATTGCAAGGCTAGTGCTATAGCTCATGATATAAGTCTCTTTGGTTTCTATTTCACAAAACAAAATAATAGATACTTATACTGTTTTTCCTATTTGAGAATCTGTCCTCACATTTTTTATATTCTTACTAACAAATGTTTCATTCCAAAAGTATTGGAAGTAGCCTCTTTCAAATAACTCAAAATTGTCATCAAAGTTATAGTTGCTTTCAGTGAATATGCATTGTATTTTGCACAATTGATTACACTGTTGTTGCTATTTATTTACCAAATATATGGTTACAAAATCAGGATTTGTAAATTGTTACTAATTTTTTGTCTAGTCATTACTTAAAGTCCATCATAACTGGTTAGTAATTAAAACTCATTAATGGCCAGTTCTCAATATGAAACAAACTGCTGATTTATGTGCCAGCAGTTTGACTATATTTATCAGGACTGATATTTTCCTTACAGTCTTTCCACAGCAATGAACTACTCTTGTTTCTAGTAATCTGCTTTTTAATTTAGGTTTGAGGCATGCACTTCTGGAGTAAAGAGTCTTTCCTGAAGAAAATAAGAATTCTCAGTTAATTTTCTTCTGATAAATGTGGTTGTGCTTAACTTTTAATGTCTGTAAATTTTGTCTTTGTTGTTGAGTCAAGAATTGAGTGTGGGAGGTTATACTTCATTAGTTAACCAGTAATGAAAATATGCCACATTGAAGATTAAATGTTTCCATTGAAAGATAAAACTACACACATGCACACATGTGTATATATATAATATATATATAAAATATATAATACATCTATATAAAAAATGAGTTGTGCATATGATATCTGGACCAAAACCACTGGTTTATACTTGTCATTACCAGTGGACTCTTGTATGTGTTTCTCTTCATAGCTTAAACTTGTATTTCTTTTTAGCACATTCTACGTAACAGTGGTTTGCCTTGCTTACCTAGGCTAAATGTTCTTTGCAATATTTTTCAAGAGGTAGAATTTCATGATCTTAAGTGTCAGGTGCATTTTATTTTCCTGTAAAAGTAGCCATTCTCACTGGTATTTATTGATAGTCTTATCTCACAGTGAGTAGTTATTCAAGTGCATTATCCAAACTCTTAAAAGAATTCTACTTACACTGATAGCAGATACAGATGAAGTGGAGAAAAGTATTATCAAGGGCTCTGTCTACATATAAGTAGTAAAACTTGCCAAAAAATCATAAAATGGCATGTTGTTTTGGAAGATTAACCTTTTTCCTTTTACATGGGTTCATATTTGCTAAAACAATGTTCACATAATGATCCAAGACACATCAAAATACTGTGTCAACAGGCCTTCTAATAATATTTGGCTACCCTGTAGGACTCATTTTTGGAACAGGCTTAGTGGAAATAACTGAAACCAGAGAGAGATTTAGAGAAACAAAGCGCTGTAGAGTTGTCTCTCTATGCACTTTTTAAATGTACTATTTTGCTGCATTTTGGAGGCTTTTTTGTGTTAAAATGGAGAAGTGACAGCATAACACTAACTGTTAGTTAGGTCTGAATCAAGTTATTTCATTGCAACTGTAAACCTCTTTCTGCCTTGTATGTGACTAACACACTTAGCATTTCTCTGATTTATTTTTATCACTTTCCTCATGTTACTCAGCATCATAAAACTAACCTTATATCATTTGCAGATTCACCCTCTTCTGTGTTAGTGCAAACCCATAATGTCAGCACCACTGAAAGAGTGATATCTGTAATAGTAGCTCAGACGGAATTAAATTGTTTATTGTTCATAAAATAATTCTTCTAAGAACATTATTCATAGTGTAACTTCAGCACAGAGTAGCAGTAACCAAGTTATCTTAAAAATAATTGACTGCCACAGTTGCTGGAGTTGAGCTACATAAATAGGAAGCTTAATGGAGTCTTTTGAAGACTCACATACAAAACTACAATGGCTTGTCTACTATCGTATGGAGGTTGCACAACACAAACATTGTGGTGTAGTAATGTAACATACACGTCTCCACACTGCAGTGGTAGAATAGCTCTAACGTAAAAACTACTTAATAATGTAACTGTTTTTAAAACCACCCGTGTGCAGTATACACTAGTTATTGTGCATAGCCCTTGTGAGCAGTGAATGTTGCTTAGGTTTCAATCTGGTGTCGTTTTGACTTTGAAGGTCCTGATGAAGTTGTGGGTCCCGAAGGAATGGAAAAGTTCTGTGAAGACATCGGTGTTGAGCCTGAAAATGTAAGTTTCTTGCACAGTGCTAGTAGCACTTTAAAAGACAATATTGAGTAAGGTTAAGTTCTGTGTAAAACTCTTAATCCACTAAGTGAAGAGTTCATCTTCCTGCTTTTAGGAGCTGTTCTAAGATACCTCATGTGAATACATCATTTATACTTGGCTGGTGTGTTAGGTTTTTTGGGGGTTTTATTATAGTAATATTTCATTTTCAGAAATTGAAATTAAGGGGAAAATTGCATGTAGCTGAATTATTTAAAAGTAACCAATATAAAGAGCAAGCATGTGCAACAATTCCTAGAATGTTTGAATGCTTAAGAGTTTTATTCTTGAACATCAGTAAATCAACCTTTTCTTACATACTGACTCCTTTTTCTCACCCCTTTTTCTTTTTTTTTTTTTTTTTTTTTTTTTCCTGGCTTCCCTAGATTATTATGTTAGTTTTAGCCTGGAAACTAGAGGCTGAAAGCATGGGATTTTTTACCAAGGAAGAATGGTTAAAAGGAATGACCTCATTACAGTAAGAGTGTTTTTATATATATAATAGAATGTTCTAGTTTTATGATTGTAACAGTAGCTTAATTATTCTTGCTCCCAGTTCTTGTATGTTGGCAAAAAGACACAGAAATGCTTGCTTTTAGGTCTGGTCAACAACTGTAAAGTGAATCTGATGAGTTCACTCAAATAATTAAGTTATTGTCTAAACCTAATAAGTCAGATTTTGGTGGCTTATTTTTATTACAGAAATATGTTAAAATATCATTCTAACTAACAGACACAACTAAGTAGATTTGGAAATGCACATAAGTGTAGTTCAGCATTGATATTCTGGACAGGTTTTACTGATTTCTGAGTTTTGTATTGATAATAGTTTTGGCTATTAGTGTTATTTATTAGATGCATGTCAGAAGCCATGGTTAATGCTTAGGTTAAATAACGCTTTTTCAATTTATAAGTTAACTTAATTATTAAATATATATATATATAAATTGTAAATATATTTGTTAGCTAGAATTTTTACTGAATTAATTTTCTACCTAAAGAGATTCTTTCTTACATTAAAGTAATCAGCTTTTTATGAGGCTTAGTTCAGTTGTTACTTCTTATTTGTTCTTCATGGAACTACTTATAGTACCTGCCTGTTTTAAGGGTGGCTTATTATGACACTATATTCAATATTAAAAATATCAGGGAAGTACTATTGCAGCTACAGCACAGTGGCAAAGAGAGGGTGATTTGACCATTGTCCTGTCAGTTGTGAATTAGTTTGGGAAATTGTATCAGGCGAATACTCCATAGTTTCGAGTAACCAGAGAGTAAATTACTTGGGCCTGACTCTTAGCTCTTATTTGATTTGGGATCAGGCTTTTGGTAGGTGCCTTGATTGTTTTGTGACTATGAGCAGAAATTAGTAAGAGCTGGAATGAGTAAGTTGCCTGAAATCTGGGATGACATACATTAAATTATAGGTGCAGAGTTTTTTAGATGTAGTGAATGGGTATTGGTCGCTTCTCTGAAGCACTTAATTTTTATGACCAAAGTGAAGCTTTCAGGAGTTAACCAGTCTCTTAGAATTCAAACACAAAGATGTATGAAATCAGGAACCTCTTCAGAGCCAGTGTTACAGATTTTGTTTCTAATAATCCTCTGTGTCTGGATATCTTCTGGTTCATTTAAGAACAGATTTGGTCATGCTGTAGTCTAAAATTGTTCAAGACTGAAAATATGCTGTGCATTTTTGTATAAATAGACTTGCAATCAGAGCACTTGCCTAAGCCTAAATCAGCTAACCTGTATGTTTTGCTTCCCCTGGTGTGCTCTAATAAGCAGGCTGTAGGCTAAGCAGCTGGATGAAGCAGTGACACATAAAGCAGCTGAAGATGCACTGGCTAAAAAAGAGGTGCTGGTTTTGGCCAGGAGTGAGTGGCTGTGTGTACTTACTTGCTAGCTAGGCTTGAACCATGGCAAAAGAAAATAAGAATCTGTAGACTTGTGCTGTTCTTCCTTACTGGGAAGGAAGGATCATATTATGGGATTCTTTCTGGAATGGGGGAATCTAGTTTGCCTGGAAAGGCTTGAGAGAAGTTTTGAAGAAAAAGGATTTTATACTCCAAGCAATAAAGTATTACTACAGTCTTGCACAGCATTTCTTTTTTTAACTTTTTGCATGAAGAAATAGGATTTAAATGCATTAAAAACCCAGAGTGTATTCTAGTCAGTTATATTACAGAATCCTTATTTCAAAATATGTGAAATGTCACATAAGGTAATTGCATGAATAGAGTTGGGTAGAATTCAGCTCTACAGTAAGACATGTGAATGTGTGGTGTATGTAAGAGCTGGATTTCTTAAACTCTTAACTGCAATCTTTGGAGATCTAGTCAGTGTAATGAAGCCTAGGGAGGTATTCAGTTTGCCCAGAGACCTAGTGACTGGTCACCTGAATTGCTCTTGCAGGCTACTTGGCTATTCTTCTGTGAATGGCAACATCTAAAGCTTAAGACACCTGGATCTAACGTACAGTTAGATGGCAGCATTTGGGTGCCTGAATCCTAAAGTGACATTCTTTTTGTGTGTAGTTTCATAACGCACTGGTGAAGTTTGTTCTTTAGAGGCAAGAAAAATAAGTATGTGACAAGGTAGACCCTGTCAAAATTAAGGTGGACTGAGCCCTAAACATCAGCTTATGAGACTTAAACAACTTAGGAGACTTAAGACATGCTAGGCTTGAGAGTGTTCCCTGAGTAAGCTGTGAGGTTTCTAGTATATTGTGTACGTTAGGTGAATTCTGCTCCTTATTATATATGTGTGTGCATGCATGTGTGTGTGCGTATACATTTATATGTACGTATATATGGGTGAGCTGGGTGCCTGAAACTCTTTCCATAGTCAGCACAGAGAAACAAGTACCTCTACTGGGTAATATGTTTTGACTGCTTTAAGCACCCCCTCAGGATGAAATATGTATACTACCATTAAATGCTTTTGGTTTAACTTTTGTATACATCTTACTGATTTTTCTTCTCAGTAAAAGACAAGCTTATGTGAATAACTATAAGATATAAAGCATTGCGATGTCTGAGTAGGAGTTATTGAATCATCACTGTCCGTTTTAGCTATGCCTCAAATGATTTCTTTACCTCAACAAAAGTTAAAATACATCTGCTTTGTGATGCTAATTTAAGTTTTGTTATAGATGTGCCATAGGGACGTGACAAGAATGTAGTAAGCTAATGTCTAATTTTGTTCACCTTGCGGTAACATTATTTAATGCTATTTTTCAGTAAAGACAGAGTGAGAAATCACATGTTTTTCTAGTCTCTACAAGAGTTTAGTGTTAATTTACTTGTGCTAATTAGAAGGTTGTTCTGATTGTTAGATTATTCAAAGTATGGGTGACCTCAGTCATCTTGCTTATAGTGCAGCTGCGCAAGCAACTGTATCTTTGTAAAAGAGGAGTTTGACAGCTCCTTACCTTCTTTCAGGAAGAAAGTTGGTGGCCAGGTACAGGAGTGCCCTTAAATGGCTTTGACAAAGACCTGTCCCTGTGTGACAGGATCCAGAGGGTGGTGGTGCCTGTCTCAGCGTGATCCGTTTGAGTGTTTGTTTTTAAATGTTGATAATAAATAGCTCAGGAGTCTTGAGGCTTAATAATTGCACATTTTCATACCAACTTTTTCAAAATAATCACTTCTGCATTAAAATACACATAACCAATAGTACAAGAGACAATAACTGGCAATTTACTTTGCACTTAAATTTGTGATAATTTGAACAACTTTAACGAATAATTTTGTAAGAAATTTTAAACATGTTGAAATTTGTGTTTACACATGGTATGGTAAATCTCAGTAAATTATATTTAGCAAAATGTGCCGTAACCCCACCTTAAGTAGCTTATACATGTCACCAGTACACTAACAACATGAGCATTTACATAGATGTTAAATAAATAGATTTGTCCTCAAATGTACAGGACATTCTACTGGAAGTATAAAGCTTTGAACATAGAAAGAAGAGATAGGAATGTAAGATGAGATTCCTTTCTTGCATAGCATAATGCTATTTAAGGGTTAAACAGGAGTTTAAGGGTTAGACCAACTAAATTGCTGAAGACAAAAAAAAGTAATTTTATCTTTAGTTAAATTTACCAAAGCTTTTTTAACTAGAGTTCTTTTTAACTTGATATATGGCTTATTGCAGAATATATTAGTTCTGTCACCTGAATATGTAGATTAATTAGCTAAAAGTTTTATTTATTTAGCACTGATCTTGGCTAGGACTCAGTGCTGCTTTAGGTAGATGCTGCTAGAGACAAGAAATAACAAAAGGCTGCACCCGTTGGAATTGCTACATTTCTCTTGTTGAAGTCTGAGGGGGACAGACTGACAGACAGACACCTGTGGCATGCACAGGCTGGCAGACTTGGGGAAAAGGAAGTATCAGCTGTGGGCAAAGTACAGCATCCAAGTACAGCATCTCAGCAACTTGCTTTAGTACTCCAGAAGGGCCCTTGCTGTGGGCCTATGTGACAAGTCCATGTGGAGCTGTTAGAGATGCAAATGTATTCTCTGAGAGGTGGGCTGCCAAAAGGGGGACACATGACCAAAGGAAGTATTTATGTACATCTGCATTTCTGAAAGTATTGCTTCTGTCACGAAGGATAAAAGGCAAGGTAGATTATTTAATTTATTTTTTTTAATCATGGTAACTATTTTATAAGAATATAATGTGATATAACAACTGTTCTTTTGAGTGAGTCTTTTCTGCAGGATTAGCAAGGGTAAATTACATTCTCCTTTGCCGTTGTGGTAAATCTAGTGCATTTTCTATTGGGAAACAAAATTCCTTGTTGAGTAAAATACATGGAGATCTTTTCTGCCAAAGGGTTATTTTTACCAAATGATTATCCTGTCAACTAGCAGACCTGGACACTCTCCTATAGACTTTGATTTTTCAGTTGAATAGCTAGTAACTAAATCAGGTGGTAGGTTTATCAGAGCTTGCATTTATTGCTCATAAAACATGAGCAGGCTGGTATGTTTTGCAGAGTGCCAGCTCAATCCTACCATTTGTAAACACACACTTCAAAGCTATATGTTTAGGGTTTGTTTTTCCCAAAGAGATCTGGCAGAAAGCTAGATTTTACCACTTAATGCACTGAATACTCTTTTTCTTCAAACTTTCATAGTGATTGAAAGATAAGGTACTGCTGGGTATGAGTGTACATTGCAGAGTGTACATGGCATAAAAAGACTACTATTTGAGAAGTAAAGCAGACATCTTATATTATGTTTCTGATATATTTAAAACAAAAAAACTTGCTTACAGAAGCTAGAATTCATCATGTCAGTCAGCTACAAACATTAAGTCTTTTCAATATTCTTTAAGTCACTTTTATAGTATTATTCCTGTATTTCCTGCATTTTGGTAACTAATTTTTTGTTTGCTGACCTTTTTTTTTCATTGCCTAAATGTTGTGTTTTGAACTTCTAAGGTTACTTTTGCGGTTTGTGTTCTGTTTTTTTATTTTAGGTGTGACTGCACAGAAAAATTACAGAGTAAATTTGATTTCTTGAGGTCACAGTTGAATGACATTTCATCCTTTAAGAATATCTACAGATATGCCTTTGATTTTGCAAGGGTAAGACTACTGGAACATTAGAAAAGTTCTTACTTTATTTATTCAGCAAGCTTGTACTTGAGTGGTTTCTGTGCTTTCTTTATTCAACCTTAGGAAAAAGACCAGCGAAGTCTTGATATTGATACTGCAAAGTCCATGTTAGCTCTTCTGCTCGGAAGAACTTGGCCACTGTTTTCAGTATTTTATCAATACCTGGAGGTACAAGTTTCCTTGACTTTCTGAATGATGGCATATTAATTGGACTGTTCTGTGAAAAGATTTCAGGGTTTGTGTTCTACTGAAGAATATATCTATATTGCTTCCCTTCCCTTGCTTGAAGTACTTATGAAACAGTAGTGTTCTTGTATGCGTCATAGATTCTTTTCTTTTTCCCTATGCCCCACCGCCTTTCTCTTATCGAAGGCAACTAAAATTCCATCCTAATTATACTGTAAAGATAAATTTAAAATTAGTCTCAATTAGTTTCTTCAGCTGCATCTCTGCTGAATTTCAAGTTTGCTTTGTGCAGATGTAGATACAGTATGTAGATACCTTGATCTTTAGCTGTCTCTGGAAGATTTTGGTCAGTTTAGCTGTAAGTGAATGAGTAATGTGTAGGTTGTGAAACATGCTAGGCTTGAGACTGTTCCCTGGCTTCAAACTAGTACCAATGTTGCAAAGTAGATGTCCTTATGATCATAATGTATTGTACCCTGGAGAAAAGATTTTTTTTTTTTTTTTAAATACTTCCTTCTAGAAGTAGATTTGAGCTAGATACGTCCCACTTCACGGCATGACAAAAATATACCAGTTTTTTGAAGTTTAGAGTGGTAACTTCCTGATTCCACAGTATATCAATTTTGCCCTGATCTTTCAAGAAATCATTTTATGTAGTTTCATAACTAAGAAATATGTACATGTGTAGTATTTTTAAAAATGTAAAACCAAGTAAATGGTAGCCATTGTTCCCTATTAAATTGTTTGTTAGGAACTGATGGAAGATAAAATGAGATAAATGAGATGAAACTGTACCAAATGCCATTTGACATTTTAATGTTCTGAAATAATTTTCCCTAGCAATCGAAGTATAGAGTTATGAACAAGGATCAGTGGTACAATGTACTAGAGTTCAGCAGAACTGTCCATGCAGATCTTAGCAACTATGATGAAGATGGTGCATGTAAGTATTATTAATGTTTTGCTTATTCAACTATTAGCGCAGTATTTTAAAATTGCATAAAACACATTTCTGTGGCAGAAACAATACTTTAAGGTATAAAGTAATTGTTCTGCAGCAATGCATAGAAAACCAGTCTTGATAACCATCCATCTTCAAACTGCAGATAGTAGATGTAGTGGTATGATGGTGTACTTGAGCCAGCTTGTATTCAGTGAGGATCTAGTAAAGGTTCTTGCTGCATGAAACTATAGACTTGAAAGCACAACTATAAACAGCAAACTCCCGTTTTGTACTAATGTATAATAAACTCCAGCTTAACAATTATGTTGCCTACCTGCTGGTACTTGGGACTGAACACAGCTGGTAGTCAGTGATGCTATGATTGAATTGCATTAATCCCATTTTGGTACGTGTTCTAATTATTTACAATTCTGAAAGCTCTAGGAAGAAGGATTTAGTTGTGCTGATTTACAATATAACCTTATTTTTATGTTTTCTGTTCAATTCAGTTCACCTGTCAGGTATCGGGAACACTTTCTTCCATAATTCTGTCTAGTGTTTTTTGTGCACCCTTTGCCACCCTTGAATTGGAATAATTGTGGTAGTCTACAAGTATTTGGCCATAGGATTGATGTGAATGTTTCCTAAACCAGTAGTTTTAACCTTCATACTTTAAGTGAAGATATTTTAAAGACATGGGCAAATATAACTCCAAGTTTCATCCATTTGCAGGGCCTGTGCTTCTGGATGAATTTGTTGAATGGCAAAAAGTTCGTCAAGCGTCATAGCAAGAATTCAAAAGAAAATGCAAAGGTTTTTTTGGTGCCCGCCTGTACACAAAGTAATGAGAAAAAGGATTGCATTTTCATTCGTAAGAAAGACTTTACAGTAATTTTTTTCCTTTTTTAAGGAATCTTTCTTGTTACATGTGATATGGGCATTGAACCACACCTCTTCTGAGACTGAAAGTTGGAGTTCTTGTTTTGAGTCTTATGTTTATAGCATTTATTTCAGAACAATAAAGATTCAGATTTGTGACAAAGGCCTAAAAGTGAAGAATGTCCCTTGAATGTGAGCGTGGTGTCTATTTTTGAAACCAAATCTATAAGAATATCTTTCTCAGAAGTGCCCTTTCTGTGAATTTTTGAAGACCTTAAAAATGCTTAATTGGCACTGTTGCTTGCTGATGGTATGATTGTCTTGTGTGGCATACGTTAGAAAGAATGACTGATTTATGAAGTCCTGACTGGGAGTGTGCTATTTTCTGTATCAAGTATTGGTCATGGGTTGTGCCACAGTTTTCAGCTCCTTGTGGAGATAAAGGCCTTAAACTCCTATTATTGTTTTTTGTTTGTTCATTCCCCACCCAGTGGCATGATATTTAATGGTAGGCCCTTTTTAAAGCAGAAAGATACAGAGCATATGGCTCTGTGTGCAGAATGGCTGAAAACTAGTTGCCTGTACTTCAGATGCTGAACACAGGTACTCTTTGGTACAGTAAGGCAGCTTCAGACTTTTACTACTATTTAGATTTTGGATTGCTTTGTATAAAAGTGCAATTTATATTTTAAAAGGGAAAGCTGGAAATACTTGGTTTCAGGCTTTGCTTCTTATGTGTTTTAGACTGGAAGCACTCACAACATGACTTTTTTTCTCTCCCTGGATGGTTTTTATAATGTAAGTCAAGAAGAGACTATTTAATCACCTACCTGTGATCATGTAACAGGCTGTATGTAACAGGCTATTAATTTTCACCCTGTTACTCTGTGTTTTGAGTCCAGTAACTACTGTGATTGCCCTTTTAGGCATTCAGTATTCATTGCAACCTTTAAATACAGTATAAGTTTGTCACTCTACCTTCCTGCCCAGGAGGCCTAATGCCACCCTTGAGAAGGAAAAGGATTTTAGTGAATAAATGTGAAAAACCAAAACAAAATGAGTGAATGAAGCATTTGTAACTCCTACTTTATTATATAAATGTATAATGTAGACTGTGATAATGCCATGAGACTCAGTCAGTGATCAAGGCCTCAATGTGCCAAATATTTCAACAGCTTGAAATAAGAATAGCTAATATAAACTAGGCATGACTTGAAGATCTTTGCCTCAGGGAAATGACTTCTGTTTTGCACATCCTTTAGCCAGACTAACAAGCATGAGTTTTCCTGTCCTTAAGGAAAGCTTTATTCCCAAGATGGGATTTTTTTGTTTGTTTTTGGGTTTTTTTACAAGGAGAGCAGAAAAAAAAAGTGTGAGGAGAAATGATAAGCAGGGGTACAAAGTAGTGGTGTGTGCCTGTGCTGTTGTTCTGTTACTGAGGACCACACTTGCATCTTACTCTCCAGATCTGCTTGCTGTGGGCTGCAGGCAGCAGTGCAGTGGTCAGAGGCTGTCCTGCAAGTCATGCTGAATCTTAGAGGCTTGGTTTCACCCAAGTGGAAAAAAGCATTGGGGGAAAAACAAACAGCAGTTGAGATACTTGGAAGATCTCTGCTTGTACAATGGCTAGTGTCTGTGTGCATGCAAACAGATGCACTACAGCTGTTTTACATATTTTTCCACTTATTTCATAGGAAGTATTTAATTTTAGAGCTCACATACGCTGTGGCATTTTTCAGTATGTTACAAGTTGCCCATTTGCACTGCTGATAATTCTGATTTCACTCATAACAGAGTGCCTTTCATTTGCAAATTGCCCTACCCCACAGAAAGTTTGTGCCAGAATGAGATTAACTTCAAGGGTCCCAAGGCCTACTGGTACAATCAAGTCCTAAGATGCACAGATAAACATGTACCAATTAACTGATGTCAAGGGAAGTACTGCTGTATACTAAATCACTTCAGGGACGCTGCTTCTGAAATTACTTTCTCAAATTCGCTAGAACAACTCTCCTTGTGTACTGTGTTTAGTCCCCACTGGGATGTTCTCTTTCCAAAAGTTTTGAAATACTGGTTAGAAGAGAATATTTTATAGTGAGATAAAAAAAAATCATCATTTTTAGGTAACTGCAAACAGTTGTGAATTCAATTGAAACCAGTTGGTCCTAGAGGATGGTATTAGACTAGAAAAGTAGGAGTGATGCATCTACCAATCCAAGGGGATCAAGTGCTTACTGTTAAGGTGTAATACACTATGTGATGTGTCATTTGTATCGCTGTTAAGGTTTTATCAGTATTCCTATAATAAATCCATTTTTCAGGGATTTATAACTTGGTTGTCTGTGTGATTGAAAATCATCAGTTACTGTAAAACTTTGACTGGGAATGAATGTATTTAAACTAGTTAAAATCAATATAGTTTTTCAAATTTGAATAAAACAGAATTTTATGGTTTTTTGCTCAAAACTACAATCAGACTTACTGTTTCAATATGAATTAATGGCTTGTACAGTTTCATTATGAGCAGATCACTTTTATTACCTTATAGCTTACTGGCATAAGTGCCAATAACAGTCAATTTGTTTTGATTTTTTTCAATTTTGTGCATGTTTGCAAGTCAAAACTGAGTTCTGCTAAACATTTTCTTTAGTCTTTGAAGTTTTTGTTTTGTTCAGGTGCATTTCAGTCTATTGAATTAAAAGAAAAAAGTTACACCTTATCTTCCAGTATTTTAAGATGAGAGTTCACAGGTGAAATATGCTGCCACAGTATGACAAATAATTAAATCAAAGGTGAAATGTCTTCTAAAACTAAATCACAGTGATGTCTATCTTAATGTTATAAACTTCAGTCTAATTTCTCCTTCATTTCTTGATATTAATTCTTCCTAATATAATTAATTACTCCTTGTTTTCATAGACAACTAACAGTTCAGTTTAAAATCTGATAATACCCACCTGCTCATGGAAAAAGCCATACTGGTACATCAGAATGTAATATTTCTCCTGTGTACAAATGTGATCTTGAATTAAACAGTCATGTATGTTTACCTATGTCTGTATATGTATATAAACTACATATATGTATATGTAGTTTTGATCCAATTTATCCTCTCTGTTTAAACTTCTAATTCTTTACTAATGGCTGTAATTTCACATTTCTATATAGCAGACTTTAAATTTGGCATTTGATATGACCATGGACACCAGCCTGGTACTTGTCTTGGCCCAAATGTGGTCCCTGTGGCCATTGTTCAGGTTTTTTGGTTTTTTTTTTTTGTATCTCTCAAAAGCTTTGAGCTGATATATTGATACTGACTGCACAAAAATTGCAAAAGAACCATCAAGTTTAGTGTTTCTGATACTTTGTTCATTTTCTGAGCTAGTGAACAGTTCTTTCAATGCAATATGTACAAACTTGTACAGTTTTAGCTTTGTTAAGTATGATGAATAAAATGGTATGTAATAGGGCAGAAAACTTATTCTTTTTGTCATGCTGCCTCTTTTAATTTTTCTTTTGTGTTTTTGAGTATGTGTAACTGTTCTTAAAATCACTGAGAGACATAATTCCAGCAAGATGGATCAGTCTAATTGTTAACCTTATTGAAGAATTTATTTGCTTCTGTGTGCAGATGTATGAAACAGAACTTTATCTCAACTGGGAGCAACAGCAAGCATCATTCTTTATTATAGCCCATGTTATTAGGTGCTGATAGAACATAATAGTCTTGGAAATTAACTATCCTTAACTGTTGATTGGATGAACACTGTTGCAACAACCTGTTGCAATGCATGTGAATGAAGAAGGAATATGCTTCTCTGTGTTCCCCAGCTGCCTCCCTTCACCTTCCCCCATCGTATCTCTTTGGTCACTCACCTGCATTTTCAGAAAGGACTTAGTGTTTTCTAGTGCACTCTTCCATAGGGTCTTTCAGAGCCTGTTACAGAAGGGATCAAAGATAACATCCTGTCTCATATGTTTGAGATAACTACACTCTTTTCCTTGCAGATGCAGCTTGTTCCACTCTTGACACTTTTTAATTGTTGAGGTCTGATGCCATACCTGCTTCAGAACAGTCTTCCCTCAGACTCTCTCAGACCGAAGGCAATACCTGTTTGTTTTTCTCCATGGTTCTGCTTTATCTTCTTTTCATAGTGAAGTTTCTAATGCCTTCCTGAGTCAGTAGGAGTTTAGTGGTATATGCACAGCAGGCATCTTGCATCTACAAGGTGATGGCAACAGTTCTATTACTTCTCTTTACCGTTCTGTATTATTCTTTCTGTATTTCTTTCTGTAAGAAAGGATGTTGTAGTGATAGGTAAGTGCATTAAAGACTGAAGGTGTACCTGCAACATTATGTTGCCTATGTTATCTTAATTTTTATGTTAAGCCACTACCAGGCTTGTCAGCAAAATGAAATCAGTTTCTCAGACTTGTGTGTCACTTCATCCAGATTCTAAGCTTTAATCTTGTTCCTGTTTTTGGTCTAGTTAATCAGAGTGTGACATTCTCTACATATCTGGATCTCCTTAGCTTTTTTTTCCCCTGAATAGTGACCATAATAGCAATGGAAGAAGTTACTGAATTTCTGTTTTATAGGCTTTGCAGCTCTCCAAATATTTTAGGATTTCATCTTTACAGAAATTAGATTCCTAATTATTGACAAGACACTTATTTTGCTCCCCTCTCTCCTAGATTTTATAATGTATTTTGAAACGAATTTTCTGCTATCCCTGAAATGGTGCAGTCACTAGTGCATGCTGATTTCTAATCTTCTGTGGCTGAGCAGTACCAGGTGGATTGTGCTGGATTGCAGGCCAGGTTTGGGCTGTTGGGCTGTAGTTTGAAATAGATGTGAGGCTTGGCTGCATTTCTTTTAATTTTCTTCTATGGGTTTTATGCCTTCAGAAGGAGAAATGAAAGGACCTGGACTCAGTTGTACAGGTGGAATTTGTGCTGCACATGGATCTACTAGTCTGTAGCCCTCCTCGCCATTCAACATTTCGTCTAAGGACAGTGGAGTAATTTTGTCTAGGAGTTTGTTTATTGGCCTGTCTTTTCAACAAGCAGAGGGGAGAGCTTTACATCTTACCTGTATTGTACATCTGGCCCCTGAGTTGTGTGTGCTTACATAATGTTGTTACTAAATGTTCCTTATTGGTGCAAACATTGCCAATGTTTGTGGCCAAACTATAGTGAATTAGCAATATGTCAAAAAAGCAAATTTACCATTTTATACAAACACAACACAAGTTGTTTGTTTTTCTTCCCAGTTTCAATAAAAGATATTACAGGATCAATTGTCATTCAAAGAAATATTTAAATGTTTCTGTTTCATCAGAATTATACCTTGCATCTCATTTTTATGTCTTTCTCTGCATAAAGAATCCAATGGGGAAAAAAGATGGACAAAGCAAGAATAAAGTAATGGTTTCTCATTGGCTAATATGATTAAACC